CGCATAGCTCATTCATTGCATAGATAATAGAAATAGTACGAAATTAAAGCTTTTTATTTAAAACCATACGATTCAAAACATTCAAAGTACTCATTAAAATCTTTCAAAAGACACAGCGGAAGTCTAAGTCTCACATGGCCAACTGAGACACAATCTCAAAACATAAGTAGGGACACGACCCTTGACAATCGAAAACTACTAAATGTCTATTACATGAAGAAATCAAACATAAGAGACCTTGTCCTCTAATCAATGAGGACACACCAAGTCTTGGAAGAATCTCTAATACAAGCTTCAACTAGGGGTAAGCAACTCACTTGCTGGAACCTACACTTGTAGTTAAACATAGAAGAAGAAAGGGTTACCATAATTAAGTACTAAGTATGATAGACATGCAAAAATTATGCTTAAAAAGGAAATTTGATTCGAAAGTCATGCTTTTATGCCATTTTGGTAAAACTTCATGAATATGTGTAAAAGAGGTATAATTCAAGTCATTTATCACACTAGAACATAAACACCATGTAAACCATTACCTTCACTTCAAACCTTCACCTCAAGTAACCCTCATGCTATACCGTGTGCAATGTATGGATAGCGTCCCATAACACCATCCACACTAAGGCACCACATTAAGGTCACCAAAAGTGAACTTACCATTTAATCTTTCCATCTTCAAAACTACTCACACCAAGAGATAACATTACAATAGTCATATCATCACATAAGGACCATCACCTAAGACAACTCTAAGTCATACTTGTGCAATGTGCAAGTAGCATCCCATACTACTACTTACACTAAGTACTTCTTTGAAGTCACCATAAGCAAGGCACATTTATATACAACAAGTCATGACAAGGAAGTAACTCATAATACAATCCAAGGATATCATGCATCATTTACATTTAAGCATTTAAGCCAACATTCCTCATTAGGTTCATTTAGGACACTTTCATACATTTAGAGGACTTTCAAACATTTAGTCATTAAGACTTAGAACTCACTATGACCCTCTCAAAGCCTACTCGTGCAATGCATGGATGGCATCCCATACTAACACCCACACTTTGTAGAACTCCTCAAGAGACCATAATGCACATCTCACATGATGGGAATAAGCATTTAACCGACATAAACCATGTTAGCTTGACGTGGAATCCGGTGTCATGAAACCCCACACCGTAAAGAGGTGGTCTCCTTGCCGAAGGAAGAACGATTCATCTATCTTAGGTGGATCCATTAGCTAGGACCTATGTGGGCACATAGTTATGGGATATGAAAGACGTTCATTGAGATCTAGCCTAACGTTGGGAGAACATTTATCTAACCATATCCTCTCGGTGCTTAGCCTTCATTCCCATATAGTAGTTTCATTAACATTACATTGTTGTACTTGAGAAGGCCACCAACACTAGTCCTACCGACCCAAAGTACATTTCCCAAGAAAGGGCCACCAATAGGCCTACCATTTCAAGGTACATTAAGGATATCTCATTGACTTTATTAGAAAGAACCACCATCATTAGGTCTACCATTTGTTGGTTCATCATTTCACACAAGAAGGAGGCCACCACCATTAGGTCTACCGCTTCAAGGTTTAACATCACACACAAGGAAGGGCCACCACCATTAGGTCTACCGGTCCAAGGTTTTACATTCACATTAGCACCTAGACCCCTCATGAAAGGCCACCACCATTAGGTCTTCCAATCCAAGGTTTATCCTAGAATACTTCATCATTCATTCATTTATAGAAAGGCTACCAACACTAGGCCCACCAATCCAAGACATTCATTCATTCATAAAGAGGGTACCAAAATTAGTTCTACCAAGTCATGTTCATTTAGACACTTAAGTAAAAATACATTCATTATACAAGATGAGGATGCCCTAGCCTACCCATTCAAGATCACATTCATTAATACAAAAAAAAGGATGCCTAAGCTTACCAATTCAAGAGATCACATTCAACATAGCTTTCATCTATCAAGAAGATGGCACCTAAGCATACCAATTCAAGATACAACATTACACTATAGAAACTCTTCACATTCCATCAACAACATTCATGAGTGTTAAGTGAGAATATGCTTTCAATCACAACACATTTACATTCTATACAAGATCATCATTCTATCATTGAAATCACATGTATATCCATCACATAATACATAGAAATTAAACACCTCCACCTCTCAAGTGGATCAAAATCTCTAGCACAATTCTACTTCAACATGTAATTAGGTCATAACTTGCCTTTCAAGGCCATGATCAAAAGTCACCAACACACCAACAATTTACTACAATTAATTCATGTATAATGATACAATTCAACAATCTAAATCAATTTAGGCATAATTCATCAACATTCATTCATGATCAACAAACCCACTTCATAAGGCACAATTTAGAAATTGAGAGGAATTATGGGTTCATAGAGTATTTTCATCATAAATCATCAATTAAACACCAATACAATAATAATTTTTCATTTGAAAATGATTGATGAAATAACCCATGAGATTGAGTGAAACCCTAGATTTTTCATACTTTGAAATCACTTTGGCGTTGGCTCCTTGAATGGAAAATTAGACAAGGATCAAAACCACCATACCTTAATAGATGAATTCCACGAAAATCCACTCAATTAGTCCTCCTCTTCAAGCCCTAAGTCTTCTTCTTCTCTTGGTCTTCAATGGAGTTCTAGAGAGAAGATATTTGGAGAGGGAGGGGTTTTGATTTGGGGAATTTTGAATAATGAAATCTAAAATAGTATTTTATTGTTTTTAATACTCTTAAAATATGTTAATAAACCCAAAATAACCGTCCAAACACTTAAGTAGCGAAGGGAGGAATTTACCAAACCACCCTTGGCTTAGCCGAGATTTTTTGAGAGATTGCAGGTCCAAACGACGGCCTAGACTTACGGACCATGATTCAATTGACGGACCATGCTTCTGGTCCGTGGTCTGGGGTTGGGGCATGGTTTTGGAGGTTTTAACCTACAGAGGCCATCCACAAGGCGTGGATGGACCTACGGGTCGTAAACCCCATTCGTAGGTCATTAAATTTTTGGCAACTTTCAAGGTTCTTTGGGGTCTTAGGGGTTAGACTAAGGGTCCTCCTCAATGACCCCTAGGGTGGTCCTTGAGGAGTCGTACCTTGATGTTTGACTCCTAAACCCATCAACCATGACTCGGGAAAACATCAAACCACCTCAAACCCCATGACAAACTCACATACTCACTAGTTAGGCTCTAGTTTTACTTATTCGTTTTATGGGTCGTTACATCTATTAATGGAATGGGATGAAGAATAATCTAGCGGAATTTATGGCCAAGTGTCCTAATTGTCAACAAGTGAAGGTTGAGAACCAAAGACCGGGAGGTTTGTCCTAAGACATTGCTATCCCTACTTGGAAGTGGGAAGAGTTGAATATGGACTTTATAGTTTGTTTACATCGCACCTGGTGACAACATAACTCTATATGGGTGATAGTAGATCGGATGACGAAATCGGCTCATTTCCTTCCTGTCAAGATTTCATATTCGGCGGAGGTTTATGCTAAGATGTACTTGAGAGATATGGTAAAATTGCATGTTGTTCCTTTGTCTGTCATTTCCGATTGTGGTACCCAATTTACTTCTCAATTTTGGAAGTCATTCCAAAAGGATCTTTGTACGAAAGTTATGTAACACCCCGGAAACAAGTAAGGCTAAACTAGATCTTAACATAAATGTTAGGGTCGTAAATGTTACTCCACATACTTTAAAATAAAGGGGTTTAGTGTTAGAACGTTATGGTATGACCCCGAAGGACCAACCATGGGTCCTTGAGAAAGGCCCTAGAAAACTACCTGGGTAGTGTACCACGAAGGGTACCCATACATCGTGGTCAGTCCACGCCCGTGGGTAAAGAGGCCATAGGTGGGAGCCTGTAAATGAGGCTCTCTAAACCTCGACCCACATTTCACCAGCACGGGTCGTGGGTTCAACCACGGTCTGTAGGTGAGGGTCTCATGGATGGGCCAAAATTCTCTTAACACGAACCAAGCCCAACTAGGAAGGGTCGTGGCTCCATACACGGTTCGTAGGTCAGGGGTCCGTGGTTCAAGCCTGGAATAGCATTTTGGCAGTTAAGCTTACGGGTATTTTAGGGTTTTTCAGTTTTAATTAATAACTAAGTGAGGTCATTTTAGGCTAAATTAGATCACCTATATAAGGATTTTTATTCACTTAAATAAGTGTTTTAACTCATTCGTCCAAATCCCAAAAGAAAGACCCAAATCCCATCCAAAAAAAATCTCTCTCTAGAACTTTAAGGAACAAGAAGAAGGAAGTTGTAGTCAGGGTTAAAGTAGCAAGTTTTCTTCTCAAATTCATTGGAATTCTTTGCTAAGGTATGGTAGTCCTTCATCCATGGATAGCTTTCATCCACGGAGTCCCTTCAAAACCCCAATTTCGAAGATACCCCAAAAGCTAGGGTTTGATACCAAAATCATGGGTTCCTTTCTAAAAAGATTGATGATTTATTATAGTTTTTATGTTGAAATCCCAAGAACCCATGAAATCCCTATATTTCCTAATTATGATCTTGTGATGTGGGTTTGTGGATGAAAGAAGGATATTGTGAGATTATGCACTACAACATTTTAGGCCTACGGCCACACTAATTCTGGACAACGCTTTTAAAGTGTTGCCTAAAATACTTTTAGGGACGATTTTAAAGTGTGGCCCAAGTTTTTAACTTTTAGCTTCGATAATATTGGTAACACTTGCAAAGTGTACTATTTAATGGTATAACCTACACTTTATAAGAGTTGTTACAATATGATCATATTTGGTAACAAATATTTACATATATGACAACACTTTTAAAGTGTCCTATTTTTATAATTGTAAAAATAACACATTACAAATGTGGCCTTAAAATTTTCACTAAAATATTATATTCCCTCCAACATTTTTAACTCTACCTCCCATTTTTATTGAGAAAAAATAATAATTCACAAAACATTAAAAAAAATTCCCCCAAATCAAAACGTAAGAGCTTTTCTCACAGAACACACTCAAGAGCTTTTCTCACAAAGATGAAGAGTTGAAGATCAAACACAGAGTTGAAGAGCTGAAGAAATGAAGAGTTGAAGATCGAACACAGGTAATTCATAAAGCATTAAGACTTTCTTTTCCCCCAAATCAGAAAAACTTTTCATCAATTTGAAGAACACGATTTTCTTTCCAAGCTACGTCTGAAGAACACGATTTCCGTCAAACATTCTCACAGATTTCACGATTTCACGTTGAAGAGCTAAAGAGCTACTCGTTGAAGAACACGATTTCATGATTTCTTCTTGAAGAGCTGTAGGTTACGCCTCACAGATGAACACGCCTCACTAAAATGGAACACAATGCTTCACTTGAGAATATGGTGTCTTAAAGCTTCATCACATTGAAAGGTTTATCAGGTAAGAAATTCTATCTTCGAAAGTTTAAATTTTAGCTTTAGGGTTTTGATATTCTTGTGTCTGCAGATACGATTGTGGGAAAGCTTTATCAACTAAAATGTGCATTTCTGGCCTCAAATGGGTCACTCCTAAATTAGTAAGGAAAGCATACAGGTCTGGGTGTTTGTGGGATGTTGATAAATCCATCAAGAATATCTAGAAAATAATACATGATTGCATTTTTTGGAGCATATGGTTGATAATTTCTTCTTTTTCGTGTTTTTGGAGTAATTAGTATGATTTGTTTAATAGGAGGAAAGATCTGTAAGGAATTCAAATTGTTGATACACCTGTGTAATCATATCTATAAACATGTTGGCTACCTAACTGAGGATGTCAATTGAGTATATAGTTTGAAGGTGTGTTGATTGATTATAACAGGTTATTTATGTGAAGATTCAAAGGAATTCAAGGTTTGTTCTCTTAACTATAACTATGATTTGTCATGTTGCTTGAAGTTTTGATACTATTTAGAATTTTGAATTCTTGAGTTGAACTTCTTGTCATTGTCATTATATAATCTGAATTCAAAAGAGAATTTTGCAAAAGAATGTTGTTTCTATATTAATTCTAGATTGATCTAATTAAGAAGTTGTTGTCATAAAACTGTATTGTGTTGCTTCTATAACTAAGTATTGATCTAAAAATTTTAGATTGCAAGTTCCTTTTTAAAGTGAATTTCTGATTGTGAAAACAAATAGTGGTACTAAGATTAACTAGAAAGGTTGCAAGGTCCAGTTTTAGTGTGTTCTTACTGTTCATTATCTATTTCATGACCATTTCCCTACAATAGGTTGTGAATATCTTTGGTTCTACAGAATTTGAAGTCTTTATCTACATATTATTAAAATTTTGCATTGTTATTAGCCTGATATTCTTCTGTCATGTTATTTCTTGAACTTGATTGAGATTTATAAAGAGCCATAACACTTCAATATTTAGGATTCCTACCATTTTGGACACCTTCTTTGCTCATGTTGTTGTGTTCTTTTCAATTCTTGTGGTTGTAATGTTAAAATCCTTGACTGAAGAGGTTTGCTTATTGCCCTTCATTGCTAATATCTTTGTGCACATTAAACTAACGATATTTCTAGTCACACCAATTTTGTCGATATTTGCCTTGGAGATTTCTGATAATAAAAGGGAACATAGAAGGAAGTATAAGATTATTATTTTTTTCTGTTACTTGTGGAATTCTTTTCTTCCAGAAGTGCGCTTGTTCATGTGAGAGTGGTTATGTTCAACTTGATGCACCGATCGTAAGACCTCTTCTGACAACCATATTTTCAAATGTTTATACCTGAATCAGCACAAATAGAAACAGAGAAAATAGAATCAGCTCGTAAGGCAGTCTCCTTTAACTCTGCTTGTAGGGGCATTTCCAAAATTGTGTTCAATTTAAAAGAAGGCATAAATATATTTTGTATATGTTCAAAAAAGTTATGGAACCTTCATTTTTATTCTCTATAATAGAACTTTTGTGCATCCCAAATTCCCCAAAGTAGGCAGGAATTGGTTTGACTTTGACCCTGTAATGAGACTTAGAGCTTTCATCTATTTGCTTGCAAAATTTTGAGGTACACTATCAGTTGATTGAGTAATACATGTTTAACAATTATAAAGAAGAACATTTAATTTCACGCACAATAAAATGAAGCTGTCAAGGTTGCGTTATCTTCATTTTCGTTTTAAGCTTATTCTCCATTTTCATGTTATAGGAGATGCTGGACTAAAATAAATGCTGGTTTTCTCAATGGTCACCACATATAAATTTCTGTTTCTTTAGAAAATTGCATTACTTGTCGCATTCACCTTTTTGCATAGGATTTCGTCATTTATCATGATAGTCAATTGATAACTTTTTTATCTTTTAGTATGAAGAGGTTTTTAAGGATGTTACATCTTTGTAATGTGGATATCATCACGTAGATATTAATCATCCCTAAGACCTACTTGATTGGGTGCTGCCTTTATGATATGATGTTCATTAAAAAAAATTAGAGACATCCTTATAGGTGTATATGATAATCTAGTTTGATGATTATGTGATCAGCAATTACTTATCAGTCCAGCTTTGAATTGTGTTATCATATCTCTCTGTAGATTATCAAGGCCTCACTAAGTCCTTCTGTCATGGAAAAATTTATTGTTCCTCAATTACGGCAAAGCTAGTTAATCTGAAGATTGGAAGCCCATGGGACATGATGCAAGTTTTACCCATCAACTAAAAGATCAACATAGCAGGGATCGATGTCACATGCTTTGATGCTAATCATTTCCCGGGTTCCCTAATAATCCTTTTTGAGCCACCCAATGGTCAGGTGTGGTTCAAATTTTTTTGCCATGTGCTTTTTCTGAATTCTAGTTTGATTTATCTTGTGATGGATGCTTTGTTTTTGTTCTACAATAGGCTGTCCTGCACACGGGGGATTTTTGATTTTGTGAAGAAATGACAAGGAATGCAGTCTTGCAGACTTATGGCAGTCTCATCCTATATACTACATACTGTGACCCTTAGGTATTTAGATTGTTAATTCATTCTTGGCTGTGAAGTCAAATAACCTACCAAAAATTATGTGCTTGTAGTGGATTTTAGGTAGTAAACTCAATAAATGGTTATATATTTTGAGTGTCATACCCTGGCCATAGAAGCAATCACTTTGAAGAAATTCTCTAGTATGATTATGTCACATGTATTAGGTTTGCTGGTAAAACAGATTGAATGCTTGTTGTAGTGTATGCCTCTGCCTATATGCTATGTTGTATAGATTATTTTATTTGTCCTATTTCGGAAAGAAAGAAAGTTTGTGCTACTGATAGGGCGCAAACAGAGGTCGAAAGAACTTGTTCAAGTGCTTCCCGTAAGAGAATTCAGAAGAAAACTCTAGCCAAAAGTGCAAAATCTAAAGATATTCCAGTGTAGTGTTCTATACCAGGAACACCATTCTGAGTGGTAAATACCCTAAATAAATAACCTACTTACATGGGCTTTTGTATCATCTCAGTTCTTGGAAAAGTAAATGATATACTAATCAACATCATCTGTTTCACCAAAATTAAGTAGGATGCTTGAAATGCGCATATATTACTGGAAGCTCTCCATATATATACGCATTTGTTGGATTTACCACAATGGAGATTACAAGTGTTGGTTCAAAGCAATGTCAGTGTGTATTTTATGATGTATTAGTGGTTTAACTAGTTGTGTGATTTCTACGTCTTAATGCTTGTGACATTGGGTTATTGACAATGAACATTACTACACTATGACCCCACTTGTGGTATTACGCTGGACATGTTGTTGACAAAAAAGTACCAGACTTATTTCTAACTGCTAAGCTTATTGATTTCATTTTCTGTTTAGGCAATTAATAATTTCCCTCGCGTTTATCATCAATAATAGAGGAATATCAATCAAGTTTGTCAGTTACTGGTTTCTAGTTTTTTCTTTTCGTATGGTACCTGTCCTTTTTCCTAAACGATTATTAGTTTGAATTTTCACAGAAGACCCTTCTTGTTGGCATCCCAGTTTTAATAGTAGACTAGATTGGTTTTGGTGCAGTCAGTGTTAATGATCTCCCACATTATTCTATCCATTTAATTGATTCATTGGTGCTTGTCAAATGTACAAACCTGGCTTGTAAAAGCTGCAAATAATGACATGTGTTATGTGCTGATATAACCGTGTTCAAGTAATTTCGTAGGTTTTTAGAGGAATTTCACGTACACAGTCGATATGTACTTGTCAACTATAGGTTTGAATCCTTTAAGAGAGTAGTTGACTTCTTTGATCTTCAATTACCATCAATAGTATCCGCTATCTAGAAGTGTTAAGTATTCTTGATAGATATGTTATATAAACAATTCTTTATCTCTATCATTCTCTAACTAGGTATGTCCACGTACTGACTTTGAAATCAGTTAGGTTCGTGGTGTGCTTACCATTTTCTCTTTCAGCAATGAAATGACTCTTACGTGTGGAGTTGTAAATCTACAATGCTGATGAGATCTAATTTTTGGCAAGCATTTCTTTCAAGGCTAAATGTTTAGAATTTAGCATAGTGAATTGAAGTTTAAGTTGGTATGAGAAAATCAATGATGATGCAATGCGTTTCTTTTTGAGTAAAGACATGTTTTGGGCTCTTTTATTCTATTAAAGTTACATATTGAGTTGAGTTTGTTACTGAAATCTGAGAACTTAGACCCATGTTCGGGATTGGAAGGCCCTCAGGGATTTCTCAACTGTCAAAAAAAAAATCTGATCTATATTTGCACTTGTTTGTGTCCAACTTTTCCCCTTCTGTATAATCATATCTTGCTAGATCCAAGTAAAAACGTATTAACACCTAGTACTCACTCTCAGATGAAAATGTGAAAATTACTTAGAAAGAAGAGAAACCATATCTAGTCTCACGCCCAAATTCGGAACTGCTAATTAATGAATGGATATACAAAATATTTAGTATATTAGGTTGTTCTGTTTATGTAATTTTAGATGTTTACACTGGTTGCTTCAGCCTGGCATGGTTCACTTTGGTTCCCTCTAACTTCATCTTATACTAGTGGCTGATGTTCTAAAGTTCTCTTTCACTACTTTTTGCTTAAATTCAATCAAATGTTGGTATTTCTCTTTTTGATACACTTAATTTGAGTTATAAATTGATTTTCTTTTGATGACTGCAAATAGTATAGGAAAAAATATGTATCTTTGTTACAATTTTTCTAGTTAACAATATTATTTGTATTCTTGCACCTTACATGTGGTTTAATGTCCTAAGGAATTGGAGCATGAACGAAGTGAGGAGCTAAAATATATGCAGAGCCATGTGACTATGATGGAGACTTCTTGAACAATTGTGATTAAATTTATTTTTGGTTTTGTGAAATTAATTACAAGTACACATCTTGTAATATTGTTTTTTTAGTAATTGTAATATGAGACTGTTTGCTTTTTATATATTTATTTTAAATCTATATATTCACATTATTATTTTTAAGTTATTTATTAGATAATTTTTGTGCTTAGAGTCAACTAAGTAAGATAGTAATGTATAATGTGACAATCAGAAATATGCAAAAAAATAAAATTGTGGCATATAAATATTTTAAAATAATATTTATAGCCTATATAACATTGCCACACTTTTAAAGTGTGGCCATAGAACTTTATTTGTGTGGCTTATTCATCTCAAATTGTGCCATATAACTTAAAAAACACAACACTTAACAAATGTAGCTTTAGAGGAGGTAGCAAATGCTATGTTTTGCAAGTGTGGCCTATGATAGTGGCCACACTTGAAAAATGTAGTGTCAGGTCATGAAAAGTATTACCATATGATGTGCTAAAAGCGTAGCCTTTGTAGCGTTTAGGCCACACTTTTGAAGCGTAGCATTTAAAGCAACACTTGAAAAGTGTGGCCTTAAATCAAAGGTTATGCTTGCTTAGGCCACCCCCGAAAAAGTGTTGCCTAAGATCAAAAAGTGTGCCCTTAGATCAAAGGCTACACTTTTTGATGGTTTAGACAACACTTTTTTGGGGTGGCGAAAACCTAAAATGTTGTAATTATGTTAATTTTCATGTCTAATGTAGTGAATTCTAGATGTGTTGATTCAATATGAGCTTTGATCTTTGAAAGGGAAACTCTGATATTATGAATGAATTATGAAGTTTAGTATATGCTTTAAGAACACTTTGACAGTAAAGTGAATATGATCATGACCTGGTTGTTGTGTTGTTGAAAGGTTATTCTCATATACACACTCAAGCATGAATATGATATGATGTGAAAAGTTCTCTCCCAATATAGTGATTCTAAGGTTGAAAGGCTTTCTGATTAACGTTTCAAGGACACTTCATCCAATTCTAAGTGTCAACGATCGTTAGTCAATATATAACACAACTAAATGAGTTGGGGTCAAATCCCACAGGGAGCAGTTTGTGTATAAGATTCAATTGGGAAGTATGAACATGTTCAAATCAGTCATAGGAATAAAAGTTATCGAATAAAACCATCATTCAAATCAGGCGGTGACACGAATGTCAAATGGGGGGTTTTGGTTTTGATTATTAACTTCAAATAGTGGCAAACAATATGAGAGAACAATAATGAGACAGGTTCTTGGGATGTGATTCGATTATAGGCTAATATAGACAAATGGATGATTGCAACTATTAGAAAATAGCTAAATATCAGTGAGTAAGCTAGGTTACAGAGGAGATAAACTTTCTCTCGAACAATTTACCCAGAATCAAGTTGATTTCTCTCGAACATCAATAAGCATGCAAAATAAGAACAGCCCACACCTTAGCCCATTCACTCTCTCGAGTTGAATGTGTGGGATTGGGTTTAGGATTCACTCTCTCGAGCTGGACCCAGGTCAACCCAATACCCACTGACCATCAGTCAAAAACGTTAGATCTAAAACCTCTCTCTCAAGCAAGCCAAGAACATAAGGCTAGAACTGCATTTGCAACTACAATTCTTATATTAAACCACAGTTAATTATTGAACTCACTTCTAAATAGCATTTAAACTAACAATTAGCAATATCCATAAACTAAATCAGCCAATAATCACATAATCACACCCCAAGAATTGGGGTTTTAGCTAAACATCAGAAAAAGGTAAAAAAACCATTACCAAATTGATTAACCATCAACTGAGCAAGAGTAGATTCGTCCTTACAATGCTCCAATATGTTCTTAAAGGAACAACCTCAACCGGACCGACTCTTAAGATATGTTCTTAAAGGAGAACATCCCACAAACATCAACAAAGTTTCTTATATGCTCATGGGGATCCTCATTAGCCAACCCACCAAACAACCCTTTCAATTGCAAGAGTTGCAACATGGTGCTTTTAATGTGGAACACACCGTTCCCTTCAGCCAAAGGCAAGCAAATGGCACCAACTCCACCCACTAGGTTTGGGTCATTTACATTCGTATCATTGACATCATTGAGGTTTCCGATGTCATCTTGGTGGCCCACTTTGCTAACATTGCTTCCGTTGACACTCATTTCCCCTACTTTAAAATAACAACACAAAAACCAAAACTAAAAGTAAGTAGATTCAACTATGACTAAAAAGAACACAATAAAACTTCACCAAAAGAATGTCAAACAACACCACTCCCCGGCAGTGGTGCCATTTTGATTAACGTTTCAAGGACACTTCATCCAATTCTAAGTGTCAATGATTGTTAGTCAGCATATAACTCAACTAAATGAGTTGGGGTCAAATCTCACAGGGATCGATACGTGTATAAGATTCAATTGGGAAGTATGAACATGTTCAAATCAGTCATAAGAATAAAATTTATCGAATAGAAACATCATTCAAATCAGGGGGTGACACTAAGTCTGGCAACAGAACCGGGAGGTGCCGGTTCCGATTCCGATCTGTCCCGGTCTGTTACCAGTTCCGTCTTGGTTCCGGCTTGTACCAGTTTTATGCGAGTTCGGGAGGGATAACAGGACAGAAATCGGGATTTACCGGTTAGTCCCAGTTCCGATCCCGATTCGTCCTAGTTCGGTCTGGTTCATTTTTTTAAAAAAAAATTTAATTATATAGCCGTTGAAAGCCGTTGGGCAACGGGTTTTGGGTCCCACCAACGGCTTTTTCACCCCCATAACTCCCCTTTACACCTCCCTACCCGCAAAAATTTTTTTAATACCCAACCTTCTAAAAACTACATTTTCATCCTTTTTTTCAACTATAAATACCCCCAATCTTTCATTCTTTTCACTCACAAAAATATTATCTTCTACTCTCTCTAGTCTCTACCGCTCTAATCTCTTATTCTCGTTAGAATTACGAATTTGATCTTTGGAAATTGGAGCTTCAAAATTCAACTTTCAATTTTCGGCTTTTGGTCATACACGTCTACTTTTTTAAGTAGACCTTTGGTACATTCGTTCCAACTCACTTTTCATTTAGTTATTTATTTGTTTGCATTTAATTATTTATTTTGTGAGTAATTAGTCTCTAGTCTCTACTTATTTAGTAATTTATTTGTTTAAAACTTTGCATTACATATTCGTATTATATATAATTTACTCAGTTTTTATATTTGAATATGGATTCCGGTAAAAACAATGTTGACAAAGGTAAAACAACCATAGTTGATTCGATCACTAATTTATGGAGCTCAAAATTCAAGAGAAAAAAAATGGTAGTACTTCTAAATCTAAAACTCAAAAAAAATTCAATTAAGAATAAATACGGATGATTATACGCAAGTTGATGAAACTATTTTTAATATTGCTAGTAATAGTGGATTAGATCCTTATCATGAACATTCACAAAGAAGGTTTGGTAATTTTGATGAGGAATTACCTGAAGATGATGAATATGATGATGTTAATGATTATATTGATAGTTTTAATAATAATGTTGATGAATATGATGATGATGAAACTCAGCTAGCTACGGCTACTCCCACTCCCAGTCCCTTTTCCCCTCCCGCTCCCTTTCGTTGTCCTGCTCCCGTTCCCCGTGCATCCTAGGACTAAGGTAGAACGCGCTAAAAAATCAGTTGTGTGGCAAATTTATGACTCAAAATGAAGATAAAACACAAGCTATTTGTAATAAATGTAAACATAGAATGAATCATAAAATTGTAAGGAAAACAGGGTGGGAAGGGACATTTGAGTAATCATTTAATGTCATGTTGTAAAAATGAATTTTTGCATGCTAAAGCTCTAGCCGAAGCTAAAAAGAATTGTATCATCCTTCCTGAAAATGTAGGAGTAGAGGGCTCTAATATGGTCCAAACACAGTTAAATCCTTCTAATGTTTATGGCTCTAGTATACAATGGTCATATAGTAGAGAAAAAGATCTTGAAGAATTAGCTAAAATGATTGTTGTTATGGGTTTGCCATTTAGTTTTACTGAAAATCTCAGTTTTATTCATTGTATTCAAATTGTGTATAATCCACATTTTAAATGTTTTACTAGAAATACAATTAAAAAGGCTATCTTTGATTATCAAGCTCAACATTTTCAATATCTTCATTGTTTATTTTATTATAATACTTGTAAAATAGCTATTACTTCTGATATGGGCCATAGTGTAAATGGTAATGATTATTTCACTATTACTGCACACTGGATTGATGAAAATTGAACTTTGCAAAAGAGAATTTTAGGTTATAAATATTGTGAAATGCATAAAATCGGTAGTTATATAGCTCAAACAATTATAGATGTTTTACAAAACTATGGAATTTGTGATAAAATAAGTAGTGTCACCTTAGATAATGCTTCTAATAATAGAACTGTTGTTGAAATACTAAAACCGTCTTTTTGCCCTATTTATATTGATTGTTTTCATATTAGGTATGTTGCACATATATATAATTTGAATGTTAGAGATGGTATAGCAATGTATAATGATGGTTGCATAAAAGTTGAAATTGCATGTCATTTTAATTTTAAATGTCAAGTTAAGTCTAGACGTAGAGATTTTGAAAATCGTTGTCGTGAATTTATTCTTCCACCTAAAAATATTCCAAAATCAGTGTGTACTAGATGGAATTCTTTATATGAAATGCTTGAAGTCGCTTATGAATATAGGAAACCTTTACAAATGGTTTGGAATACTCATAATTCAAATATGACACATAGACTTGATGATAATGATTGGAATGACATAAAAGAACTTATAGAATTCTTAAAAGTTTTTTATTTAAAAATAAATAAAATATCTTCACTTTATTATCCAACTATTTGCTCTGTTTTACCTAATATTTGTGCTATTTCTAGTAAATTTTATAAATTCAAAAATAAACCAAGATTTGAAGAATCTGTTAAGAAAATGATTGAAAAATTTAAAAAATATTTTATTCCTATTCCTCAAATTTATTTAACTGCTTGTTTGTTAAACCCACATTACAAAGATGAAGGTGCATCACGAATGGTTGATAAAATATATTTTAATTTGGGTATTGATAGTGAAGATGATGAAACACCT